CTTACACTGCTAAATTAGGGATGGCTAGCGCAGATAGCCCTCGTGTAGCTTTGCGCGAAATTCTAAACAAACAAACAAACAATATGAATTACAATCTATATGTCTATTGTAATTATGTAATAGTTTTTACTTGCTCAATGGTTGTGATGTATGTGTATCATATGTTTTAAGGAGCAAAAGAAAGTTAATGAAATCTTCAACCAGACCAAAAATAAAGTTTATTGCCTGTATAATTAAAGTTAATTGTCAAATTCGGGACAAGCCTGAAATAAGTAAAACGGGAAGTGTGATATTTGAATATAATATGTATTTCTCTCTTCTTTTAGTATTATAGTATTTATTCTGAATTTATTCTTTGTTTTGCATATGTGCAGGTTTGAAATAACATGGTTGAGAAAGCTGTTAAGTTGATTTCGTTCTAGACTACCCTTGTTCCTTTGTTGTTCTCGAGGTGAATAATAACTGTGCGATATGCAAGCATATTATGCGTTTTTCCACTATCTTTAGTAATACAGGATTGTTTAACCTTTTCATCTAGTTTGTTTCTAAGCAGTTTTGGAATAAGCATATTGTCTATAAAACACTGAAATTGCTTAGTTTAATTAGCTTTGTGTCTGTTGTTCTTATAGCAAATAACACCTACTTTGCCTGTGAAAATGCAGATGCATCCTTTCATTGGCCAAGTGAATGATACCTGTAGGTTCCAGCCAACTAATTCTGTGAGAAAATGAACCATTTTGTATTGATGCCATCAAAAAGAAAGGAAATGAAGTTTCTTGCCATTCTGGATCCTATATTCTTTTTCAGCACTAGTTGGCATACGTCGTGACTAGTTTTGCAAAAATGTATCTCGAGAGAACAAAAGCTGAAGTTCTATTCATGGGTCAAGAAGATGATTGTCTAAGAATCTACACAAGTAAGAATGCTATTTTCTTTGCTATACTAGTAATAAATATTATTTCACTTAACATCAACCAAGTCCCATCTGTATAATTCTCAAATAAGTTAAAACTCAGTCAAAATGTTTAATTCGGAATATTCCACAAACATTTCCTGCTCGAACCTTGTTATGGCATGTCTACCAAGAGTATACCTTGCTGTAGTATATATTCCGCGGATGGATCTTGCTGCAGAATCTACCCCATGGGCGGACCTACAGAGTCCTGCCTACTCAATATTTCCATTCAGTGGAGGTAGCTGGTTGTTAACCCTCCATTTGAGTATTGTCTTTTCTAATAGACCCTGGAGGTACTTGTGTCACACCCTTTGATGATAAAATTAACATTACAGCTGTTACTGTAGACTTTTATCTCACTGATGGTACTTCATTCAAAGCACATCATGACAGACACTGATTCTGTGAAGGTGGGGAAGCCCCTTACTCTCAGGTACTGTCTTAAAAGCTCATTCGAAAATCCCTCAATGAACTTACTAGCAGAACTTCCCTGTATGCATATGCTATTGCCAGGTATGTCTTTCCATGCAATTGGTTCAGATCACTTGCATAGGTGGCCAGTTCCTTGGTACCAGCCCTCTTCCAAGCTTTGAACTTAGCTCAGTAGATCACCTGATTCTCTAATGAGTCTAATTGGCAATGCAGCTCAAACACGGCTGTTTCCCAGTTGTTCTGCTACTCCTCATCCATATGCTTGATAGCATTCAGGGCTGGACTGTTTAAGCTCAGAATTGGGCATTAAACAATATGTACTTCAGTTATCCACTCCAGTTAGTAACACTCCTAAAACAGTTTAGGAACTAATCTGTGTCCTCTCTCACTGTTCCCTTTACAGTGGGAGCATGCCTCATTCACAGAGATCCATGTGTAGAACTATAACCTCTCTCTCTCTCATAATCCAATTGTATGCCATGAGGAGATGCTGCTAATGTCCTCGGTTCTGGGTGGAAGCCATTCACAGGGACTCCGTCACCCAAATAAGTGGTCAGTCTGATCCAGGGCTACAGGACAACAAGCTACTTTAGGTAGCTCATCATACAACTAGGCATGACCCTAGGTGTTGTGAGTTGCCATTGATGTTGTGGGGAACCTTTAAGTTCCAAAAAGTACCTCACCCAATGGGTGCCTGTTGTCTCACTTGTCAGAAAGACAACTCTGACTGCTGGAATTCATCCACCATCAGCTGATACAGCCTCTGTACATTAGTCATCAGTGGTGTTGACCAGTTATGAGGCTGCTGTACGACTGGCAACAGCCTAGGAATCCAATAGAGACTTCTTCATGTGGTTTCAAACTTTCTTCAAACTCTCAATCTTGTGAACCTCAGTCATCTGCACTTCCCCCAAAGGTATTATTTGCTTGAGTAGTCTAGGCATACCACACACGAGCAACATTCCTTGAGTGAGCAGTTGCAGGCTGAATGGTGTCACTGACTTTCATGGTAATGGCAAAAGTCCTATGTCCAGAAAAGAACCTATCCTAGACTTGACGTCTCTCCCATACTGCTAGTAAACTCTCTCTCTCTCTTGATCATAAATACTTCTACATACATTATTTTGAAGTAAGTGAACTTAAGAAATCAAACAAGGGATAGTGCATACGTTGTAACTTCAGAAACTCAGCAATAAATCCTGACGTCAGAGCATCATAATTTCTCCTTCCTATCTACTGCTCCCCCCCCCCTCAGTGGCGCAGAGGTATGTCTGCGAACTTACAACACTAGAAACCGGGTTTTGATATCTGTGGTAGGCAGAGCACAGAGAGCCCATTGTTTAGCTTTCTTATTAATTCCAAACAAACAAACAAATCCTATCTACTAGTGGTATTTTCAAGTAAAACAAATTTCCTGATAAGCATCAGATAGACAGACCTGTTCATAATGACAAATTCATTCAGAAATCAAGGAGAATAATTATTAATATGATAAGTTAACAGAATTTTCCTAGGGTGTTGTTATAAGTAGACTTGGTAGAAATTAATACAATCTTTATTATCAAACAAATAGACAGAAAATACTTATGCTAAAGTGTGTTTAGCTCCACAGTTTTTTCTCTTGAGGCCAATTTCAGTTGAACTAAACATGATGATCTTGAAATAAGTATTTATTTGACGATCTCCTAGTAGAACTGAACAAAGAAGACATGCCTGAATTCAACAAGTAGGCCCAGTTTCTTTATCCAGATGACAGCATCACCACGTGACCTTTGTTCTTACATAACATTGGTTCGCCATTACATTTAGAAAACATCAACTGGGCCAGCAAAGGAAATCACATTGCTAATCTTTTTAATCAGGATGCTAAATTTTACTGCAATATCCTCTTGGGCAGAATAGAAATTATCAACTACAGAGATAAAAGAAACAAAGCAACTAGAAGAAGGTAACCTCTATGACTTTATGGATCATCTTTATGCTACAACTGCATACAAACCAAATAAACTATAAAACATTATAGTTCCTATATAACTAAAGTAAGTACAAGACACATAATATGCCTGTATATCAAAAAGGGTTAACAAGTGGAAGTATCTAGGCAGAACGTCTGTCTATCGTGTTTAAAATCCAAGCAGGTACGTACTACATAGTGTGTTTGTGTTTAGTTAAGATAAAGAATGTGCATTTAGTTTTACACTTCGTGACCTACCTTGTTACTATATTTTACATCGCCTCATCAAGAAAAAGATTTAATATTCCTCCATAATCGATATACTGAGTGAATATTTTGTTATTTAGCTTAGTGATTCTCAAAACTTTTAGGTTGCGAATCCCTTCGCCCTCCCCTATGTATTGTGATGGGATATGAGAGTGCTGATTGTCATGTTTCTAGTATAGTTGTGATATTAATCACGTAGGTACGTAAGAAAGGGGAGGGGTTTCGATGGAACCCCTATTTTTGTAAGGTAGAAAAAATGCTTATATAATTATAGCGCAGCTGCTTATGGTATTTAACGTTTTCTACATAGTTTACATTCTTCTGATGAAGCATTACAATTTTTTGGCTCGAAACAGTCGCATCTTCACAGATCTCCGTAGCATTAGCATGCTTTCCATGTCTATTGTGCTTTTTACAATATGTGTTAACTTTTGATTTCACAAATTAGAACCCCCATTTCAAACATTTTACGTACTGTCCTGTTAATTGCTCTAAATAAATTTTTGCGGTAATTAGTTTTACCTGAATCATTTCACGGACTTCAGGATGTCTTCCGCCCCCCTCGCCAGTTTGAGAATAAACTTAGTGAATCTATCTGATAAAGCTCTAACATTAATTCAGTTTAATTGTACGTACCACATGAGTACCTGGATTTTTGTTGACAACATAATTTATCCATATGACGAAAATCCACCAAAGATGTCAAAAAATCTGATTATCAGTAGATACCACTCCCTTTTGCCTAATTTTCGGCCAAATGTATTAAGTGACTAACCTTTTTCCCCTTTCTTCCCCAATGGTATAGCGGTAAATCTGAAGGCTTACAACGTTAAAACCGGGTTTCAACACCCGAGGTGAGCATAGCATAGACAGCCCATTGTGTTGTTTTGCGCTTAACCACAAAAACAAACAGACATACTAACCTCTAAGAGTATTAGACAATTAATATAAATAAACAAAAAACAAACTTTGGTATATTCCTGAGAGAGATGTTGATTTAAATAATGTTTCATGGCAATTGATAAAGTATTTAATAGCATGTACCCAATGTTTATTAATATATACATTAATAATTACAGTAAATTATTGTCAGTGTTACACTATTTAAGACTGAGTTTAAACTAGTCTGGTGTTTACAGCTCATGGAGCTTTTGTGTAGATCATTAGTAAGGAAATGGTAAGCATTTTATAGTATCTGGCAAAGTTTTAGTTTCTAGAAGTCGTTTCAGTAAATGCTTAAAATAATAATGGCACGTTAAAATGCATTCGTTATAAAGCTTAAAATGTAGAAATTTCTGCTACATAATTGCAGATAAACAGTAGCGCCACTGAACGATAATACATACAAAGTAAAAATATGCTGCAAGGTTTGATAATGTGGGCAAACTTAGGCTTAGTGTATTTATAAATGTAGGTAGTGTTTATGTTGACGGTTGAACGACTTGTCTGAAAGTACTTGACAGAAGTGCATTGTGAAACTCAGAGTAAAGAAGTGAAAGCGGGCACATGCTTAATTCTGTTTGGAATTTGTGCCGCGCTTGCCCCATAACTACAGACGAAAAGGTAATACCGTACAGAATTAGTATCGAGGAGTATTGTTTATATTGCTGTTAGTGTTAACATTTTTTTAGATGAGCCAGGTACTGTTTATTTAACTATTAGTATTAGAGATAGGTTTTGTTTCAATATTTAAATGTATTGCAGAAAAGCGTACTGCTGACGTATGGACTATTTTTTATTTTATTTTCATAAAGTTGAATAAGAAATATTGTGGAGGTATAAATCACTAAATTGATAGTGTTTGTTTGTTTTGAATTGCGCGCAAAGCTACAGGAGGGCTGTCTGCGCTAATTGATAGTGATAACTCATTCTACATTAATTTAAAGTTTAAATTATATAGTTGTACTGTAGTGTTACTGTTAGTTTAAATATCATACCATTACCAGTATTATTATTAATCATTTAATGAGTGTAACATTAACTTCAGTTATTAATCGTCTATTTTAAAAATATATTGTTAATGTTACCAACTTTTTCTTTTCAATTCAAATCAAGTTTAAAGAATGTCGATTTTTTAGTTAGTTCCTACAGTTATTTAAAATTTTAAGTCGGAAAAAGAATTATATATTTTTAACAATTTATTTCATTCCTCTGCTTTAAGTTTAACTTATGTATTACAAGTTACCTTAACAATAACATTACTTATCACTATATAAACCACTAGTGAAGCCTGGAATAATGTGTACAGTTATGATCTCCTTATCTGATGAAGAATACTTATTTAAGTTATTACTATTAGAATGGTTTTAGAGATCTTAAGATGATTATTATCTCTTACAGTTACAGAGATAGGTTCTGGTCTCTTATTTTCCCTTTGAGAAAAGAAGGGTAAAAGGTAATCTTATTGAAGCTTACATTGGTGGATCAGAAGGTTAAAGGCTTCTGAATTCTTTGTGTTACATTCTAAAGGCAATAGGATGACAGGACACAAGTTTAGGATGTGTAAGAGCAAGTGCAAGATAATGCATTTGGGTTTTCATGATTGGATCATGTTTAAACTTTAATATAGATAGTAACCTAACTGATAGTGTGACAGAAGAAAAGGATCTGACGTAGTATTGGAGGAGTTACTAAACCAAAGAAGTAGTGATGTGTTGCTAGTGCTAGTAGTTGTAGTAGTAGTAAAGTTAATAGAATTGTAGGGTCTCTTTAAAGACATATTGATTACAAGTCAAAAGAGGTAATTATTTCTGTACAATAACTATTTAGGCCTCACTTGCACTACTGTGTACAGCTTTAGTCTCCTTATCTAGAAAAAAAAATATTTATTCGAAAAGATTTAGAGGAGGGCTGCTACTACTACTACTAGTACTAGAATTATTCCAGAGATAAAATGGTTATCTTATGGAGATGGATTAAGATAACTTATTTTGTCATGAAGCAATAATGGTAGGGGGTTATCTTATTGAAACTTACAGTATTATAAGGGGGATTAATAGGATAAAGATCTGATTTCTTTGTGATATATTCTAAGGACTACGATATGAGAGAAAACAAGTTTAAGATTTGGAAACTATAATTATATATTTCTGACAATGTGATTTGATTAGCTTATGGAATGAGATGCTTTTGTCAGTAGCAGCAACACCTTACAAGAGTTTGACAGGGGAATTCATTACTTCCTGAAAAATAAAGGATAAGTTTCAGATTTTACTTTGTCTTAAGGGTGGGTGTGTAGGGACAGCCTTGTAGGGCTAAATGCATATATTTTTTTGTAGGGAAAGTGATTTGATATTCAAGATTAAGGTTTCTTGTATTTGCATATCAGACATAATGGGAAGAAATTTCGTTGGTCAATAGAATACACTGGATTTAGAAATTGTATCTATGTGCCCAATATAATGTATCATAGTCTAGCTTTCCAATCCCAAGTCAACGAGTTATGCTCAGTGTTGCTAATAACAAAGTGCAACTTATTAACATAATTTGCCAACAACTGACAAGGCATGTCTATAAACTACAGACAAGAACCATTGCCTACCTTCATAGGCTGATTTTGAGAGGAACAAATAGTACTCCAGAGTAAGTTCATCTAGGATGTTTCATTGTCAAAGATGCCTTGCAGTCTACTTTTAAAGAAGCAGACATTGTAATGGTATGACTGGTTGTAGAGGTGGTCATGCAAGGTGTATTACTGTAATTTCAGAAGATGCAGATGTACTTGTGTTGTTGTTGCATCACCACCTGATCAGTAAGCTCACTTATATGCTTCTTATGGAACAAGTTCATACATAGCATACAGTCACTGACATTGGGCTAACTGCATGTAAACACTCACAGATAGCAAAGTATCTTTTGGCTACCCATGTCATTTCTGGATGTGATTCAACTGCATACATGTGGGGAATAGGAAAAGCAACTGTTGTCAAGATACTGTCAACAGGCTAAAAACTTGAACATTTTTGAGATTCTAAGCAGACATAAATATGGTCATTAGAGCAGCAACTTCATTTATAACCACATGCTATGGGATTAAGATTACTCATACCAACATGTATGACATACTGTGACACCTGGTTAAGGAAAACTTCCAGTAAAACAGTAAAGACTAGTATAAAGCTAAATTCAGATACGATACATTACCTCTTCTCACATAAATAGCTATTCTCGTTCAATGCTACCATCTACATGCAATAAATGTTTTTCATGTGCACACAAGCCCTGAGCTCTCGTGTACTCTACCATCAAATGGTTCAACTGCATTTCATATGTAAATCATCATGCAACAACCCTCCACCAATAGGAGTATGACACACTCACGATGCATGTGACTCTCTCTATTATATTCTACCAAACTGTCATTTCTCATTTGGCAGTACTTGTGTCAAGACGTTTTTTATTATGCTCTTCAATCGTGTTTTTTTGTTCAACTTAGTGTTTTTTTTTATATTCATTCTGATGTGGATTTCTTTTTCTTTTTTTTTTCAAAAGTTCACGAATTTTCTCATAACTTATTTTTCCCAGTTTTTAATTTTCTTTTTCATCAAACACTTGTGTTTGATTCTTCATTGTTACACAATGAATTCTGAAGTACAAGTTACCACTTTGGAGGTAATACCTTCTACTAGCACACTCACACAGGCTACTGGTGGGGGTAACTTGTCTATGGACTTATTGGCTCTCATCTGCTATGAGATTGATCGTTATATGAGTCAATCTGTTTTTCCTGATGTTGCCTCTATTCCTCTTGAACATGCTGAACCTGTTTGGGTTGACAAGGATTTTATAGCTTTTTTCCTCCACTTGATTTTGCCGTGTCTTCCTATGCCACTACCGCAGAAACAACTAAGCCTAATACAGTTTTTTTTAGACATGGTTTCTCAGGTATGTTTTGTTTTATCCATTTCCCCGATTTCATATGATCCCCATTTCTTCTTTGTTTCTCAGGTGGTTGATGGTGCTAGTATGCCTCGCCCTCCAGGTTTCAGATCAATTTGCTTTGGCCTACCATCAGGCAGAATGTCTGTTTCTCGATTCTCAACAGTTGGCATTGATTTAGCCCATGTGGGGGTGGATCCTGATCATCCTGTTCATTTATCCCACACCCAATTTTCCTGCCTTGTCTAACCCTATCAACTCTCCCACAGTACCTGTCTACCATCCACCTCTTTACCAAGTTGGTCCACCGGTATTCTGAGGGTTTTTCAAGGGATAGCTTCTCCCTGCTTACCTCCATGTTGGCATATTTGTCTTTGGTTCTTTCCTTACATATGTGGTTTCTCTGTTGTTGGGATCTCCTGGTGAGGGACGCTGTTTTATCCCAGGTTCATTTACCACCAACTTATCTTTGGGACTTATGTATGGTCTCTTTTCTACAGCGGTATGTTTTTGGTAATATACTTGAGATTTTGGTATCCCATGTGGAATTGGTGAGACAACAAACAATTCTTTCTTCTTTTGTGGATCATTTGTCTCATTCAGAGCTTAGACAAGCCTCTGTTACTGTTTCCTGTCCTGCTTCTTTCCAGCCCTTACCTGTTTCTACCTCGAGGAATTCCTCCTCTTATTGTACAATTCAATGCAGATGGACACATCACCAACAGTACCAGTGACTACCCAATGGGTTCTGTCCAGTAGGGGCTCGCTTAACTGATTCTGTTCCCCTTTGCTGACATTTCACCACAGATATGTGGGTTATTTTGGTATTATCAGATCAACTTGCCATCCACTTCCTTTCCCTCCTCTATTGTCTCGGGTACCAATATCTGTCTGAGGTAGTACAAGTTCTTCTCTCCCAGAATGCCATAAAACCCATTATGCATCCTTCTCCAGGTTTTTATTCCAGGCTGTTTATGGTGCCTGAGAAAATTGGGGACTGGCAGTCTGTGATCAATTTGTTCTGCCTCAATAAATTTTGGGTTCTATCCCAATTTACCATGGAGTCTCTTCTTACCCTTAGGAGGGCTTTATCTCTGAGTTTGTAGATGACCAAAATATACAAAAACTGTAAAGTTTTTACCTCTCCTACCCTTTCCCCATTGTTGTGTTCCTTCCGGATTTGTTGCCACTTTGCCGTGCAGTCCTTCCAGATTGGGATGTCAGTGTGGTTCTTCACTGCCTTATTTTACCTCCGTTTGAACCTCTGTCCTTGTGCTCAATGTTTTCATTTATACCTTAAGATTTATTTCCTTCTTCTATTGGCTTGTGGATGTTGTCATTCAGGTTTATTTGCCATTGACATTTCAAGTACTCTATATCATTCCACATATATTCTTCTTTGTCCAGATCAATCTTTACTTAACAAAACTTTAGCGGCTCATGAGGGTAACTCATCCTTCTTGCCAATTTCCCTTCCTTCCATTTCCTACCTGTATCCGGATAAGCTACTATGTCCTGCACGTGCTCTTCATTTTTATGTTGCTCGCATGGCTTCCTTCCATAGTGCCAGTTCCCAACTATTCATTTCTTGGCAGATATCCCTTTTTATGACCTTTCTTCTTCTATCTTGACCAATTGGGTTTGGGTTTTAAATTAGTTTGATTATTTTTACTTGTCTTCATCCTTCTTTAATATGTTCCAGGTGTCTTCTCATCATATCAGGTACCTTACCTTTTCCCTGACATCTCATCTCCATTGTCTCTTGGAAATTCTTCATTCAGGCATGTGGACTATACCACAGATGTTCTTATCTCACTATCTGCATCGGATTGTTATTTCTTCATTGTCGGGTTATAGTCTTCCACCTGTAACCATTCTTCAGACTTCAGTGTGACAGTGACTGGGTAAGTTATCTTTTGCACATATAGCCAATTTACACCTAGGGGCACAACCTTTTACTCTCACCCACATTAATGTACTCTGTGGGATTGAGATTCCAATATATTATGGTTCAGATCCCTATCCAACCATTGTTTTCTCCCACCCATATCTGTGACACCTCTTTCCATACTAGGTGAAGAGTATACGTGGTACAGAAGTGGTGCAGTCTCCTACATATGATCCTCTAATGCGAGAATCTACTCTTCTAGGGTGTTCTTTGGGATACTTTTGATAAATGCTTCTTTGTTTTTCCCTCACACCAGTCCCTCCATCTATTTAATGTGAGATTCTATCCATTTTTGTGAGCAGAGTTAATGTATTGCATCAGAAGTTATAATTTTCCTGTACTGAAAGTATACTTCTGACAGGTACTTGCCTCCACTCACACTTCCCACCCTTCTGAAAACTGATGCTTCCTATTTCTGCCAAAATTTAGAGTGATAGTTTGGTTGAATTGACGCTCCTATTGGTAGAGGGTTGTTGCATGATGATTTGCTTACAAGACTCAGTTGAACTAAGTTGATTGTGGGGTATGTGGGAGCTCAAGGCTTATGTCATGCAAAAAACTTTTTGGGACTCCTTTAAGTTCCTGCCCTTTACATTTTGGCTACACTTTACTTAAGGGCGAAGAGTATACCTGGATAAGAAGTGGTGCAGTCTCCCACAGGTGTGTTGTTTTTAATTCCTTTTTACACTCCATGGTTTTCAGTTGGATGCTTCCTAAAGAGGGATCATCTTCTCACCGGCCTTCCACCGGTTCAATGTGAGATTCTAGCTTTTTGTGAAAAGAGGTTAGATATCATATCAGAAATTAAAATTTTTGAAACTGAAAATCTGTTTCCCATAGATACTTACCCCTTTTCACATTTTCCACCTGTCTTTCCCAGTTCTGGTATAGTTTGGTGTGATCTGACCGATCTCAAAGTGGTTAACAGCTGCAAGATTAGAGAGGGCACTAGTTACGGTAGGGGTAGTTTTGCACTCTTATTGATGGAGGGTTACTGTATAATCATTTGCAGAAATATGTGGGAGTATCAAAGCTAGTGGTGAGCAAAAGTTTGCACCAATAGAGGGCAGTATAAGTAGAGAAAATCATTTATAATCATTTGCAGAAATATGTGGGAGTATCAAAGCTAGTGGTGAGCAAAAGTTTGCACCAATAGAGGGCAGTATAAGTAGAGAAAACTTTTTGTGAGAGGAGATAAGTATCTATGAGAAATACATTTTATGTTTAAGAAAATGTTAACATTCAAGAAATCTAATATACTGAGCACATTTGAAAAGGTATGAAATAAGAATGCCTATTTTGGTAAATGAGTCAATTATTAAGTTGTCTTTACAAAGTAAGGACTACACATGAATATATGCTATAGCAGAATAAATAAGAAAAAGTGCAGTAAGATGAAAGTAAGAAGATTTAATCGGGGATACCAAATGTTTTTTGGAGGAGAAAGGGCTGGAGGGGCAATCCCCACCACCAACAAGATTAGAAAAAAATTGATAATAAAGTAACAATTTATGCTGTTCCTGTGTGTGCTGTAAATCTACAGCACAATCCAATGCCAAGTCACATATTGTTGCATTTTTACTTTTGAAAAATCCAACAGCTTCCAGGGGCTGATAGGCACTTAGACCTTCATTTGAAACTGGCTTCCCCCAAATGAAATGTCATATGGTGTTGCTGATTTTAATTGAAAGCTAAATTGAAATTCTAAGATCTTGTACAAATCCTTCTTGGTTCTTATGAAAACAATAGAAATGCACAAAGGTAAAAGGTTTAAGAAAGATTATTCTTTAGGTGTACTTTTTTGTGCTGTAGTTGATAACTGAAATAGTATTCTATTGTCATTCTGTGTTTGTTTTTGCACCATTTTAATGTATTTTGCAAGGAATGAACTGAAAAAGCTATATATTTATTGACAAGAATTAACAAAGCTTTATTAACCTACAGTTACCTACAGAGTACAAGAATAAGTTTTCGTTTCTCCAAGACCATCAACTCGCATCCTATGAGGTTCTTAGGAAACCTCCAGAAAGTGGTGAGTACCCATTTTTTTGAGATTTTTAGATATTGGAATTACATACTTCATATGTTTTATATCAATTTAGGAAAGACTTGGCAAAGAAACATCAAGTCTGTCTACTTGTTAATGAGACAAAGCCTGATAGAGGGGAAAAAATAGGTCAGGTATGTCTGTTTGTTTACTTTGTTCAGTATCTTCAGAGTAGTAACAAATGTGACAGAAGTTTTGTTAATGACTTAAAATGAGATAATTGAGCTGTACATCACTGGTAATTCAGAGCTCTTACGTAACTGATTTTGAAAAGAGGGAGATTCTGTGTTGACAACAATGCTGAATGCCATACGTGTGAGGTGTTCATCTGTGTCTGAAAATGTTTAAATAAATTAGAGGCAAAATTGTGCATTCTGAGCAATTTTAAGAATTTATAGGTAACATTTTCAGAGAGTATCTTAAAAAGGATTTCTTTAAAAACTCTGTAGAATATCTTAACAACCCTACCACGAAATATCAGTACTGCTTTCACAACAAAATCTTTGCATGATTTTACTCAACATTGAAAATTTAATTACATGTATCAGAATGTTGCTTATTATAATTCCATATAGCATGTTTTAGTAAGTCCTTTGAGGCTCCATATTCACAAGAATCTTTCTCTGATGGGTGAAGAGTATACCTGATTCAGACATGGTGCAGTCTCCCACATCAAATATTTGGATCTGACTATCTCCTCTCAAGTTTTGTCCTTTGGATGCTTTTGAAGGATGCTTTCCTTCCCTTATACTGGTCCCTACACCTATTCAATGTGGGATTCTAGTTCTTTATGTGAGCGGAGGTAATGTACTGTATTGGAAGTTATATTTTTCCTATACCGTAAATTTATTTCTCATAGTTACTTATCTCTTTTCACACTTCCCACCCTTCCTCCCCACTGAATACCTGTGCTTCCATTTTTTGCCAAAGCTCGAAGTGATAGTCTGGTAGAATGGAATAGAGAGAGTCACATGCATAACGAGAGTGTGAGGCACTTTCATTGGTGGAGGGTTGTCGTATGATGATTTGCATGAGACACACATTGGAATTAGTAATTTCCAATGGAAGGGAGACAGAAGGCTTGTGGCATGCATAAAAAATTTCTTTGCATATAGAGGGCAGCACTGAACAAGAATAGCTATTTATGTGAGCAGAGGTAAGTACCTATTGGAAATACCTTTTCAGGATAGGAAAATTATAACTTTCCCTTAATGTCAGTCTTCTGTCTTGACTGAGCTTTTGCTAAGCATGTATGTCCTTTGCTGTTAATGTGTCGATGGACCTCCGCCTCCATTTGATACGCGCACGACAATGTTCTATTACAAACATTGGAGCAGAATTGGGTATTCATAGTACTCGCAGAAGATATGAATGAGTATTTTGCACTCCATTGTCTGTTAAATTTGGTCTTGTACTTCGCAGCTTCCCCCCAAATTTTAACTTTTTAGCAGCTGGCGACAAAGTTTCTGCTTCACTCTCCAAGTCAGGCATGTTGAGATTTCAACATATAAAAGAAAGGCTGTGATTGGTTGAGTGTTGATAATTGACCAGTGTACATGGCCTTAGGCTTACATAAATAAGCAAATTTAGTCGAACAGTGTCGAATGAAAGAAATTAACTTGAGCTTTTAATTAATGAAAAAATATCTTTGACATCATATCAATTGCATGAGATTTATATACCACAGTGTGAGAGCATGACATAGCGTGTAAATGCATGAGTCTTATGCTCAGTGTATAACACTTGACAAGTCTGGGTAATGTGGGAGCTACAGTAGGGACATCTCAAGGTCAACATTAAGAACATTAGATAAATAGTAGAACAGCTTATGATGCTGCACTTTGCTAGACTCATGGGAGCTGATATAGGTGTACATTGCTGATAAAATTTAGTTTCTTTCGTTTGAAGGAATCTCTTGATTCTTGACTCTTATTCATCATTTTCTTGCATTATTAAAGAATAATTAGGCATTAAATAAGTACCAGGAAACCTGCTTGTAAGTTATGTGCAGTGTATAAGACTGCATTGTGTTACTGTACCTTATCATCAAGTTGGTGTTAAAACACTGCATTGGGCATTTTTATTTTATTACCAAGTTTTTGTAAAATAACGTATTTTATTTTTTCGCTTATCACCAGGTTATCATAAAATACTTCATTTTGCTGCTACATCTTAACACCAAGTTGGTGCAAAACATTGCCTTGTGTTTTTGAAAATTAGTACCAGGTTGTTATAAAATACTGTATTGTACTTTTTTGCTTATCACTAGGTTGTTATAAATAACTGCATTTTGCTTTTACATCTAATCACTAAGTTGGTATAAACCTCTATACTATACTTTTGTATCATCAGGACAGAGTATGCCAAACTCCTAACTAATTCAATAGAAAGAAGGAGCACATGCTAGAGTTAGAAAAGAAATTGTAAGGTATAAAAATAAAGGAATTAAAAGAATGCACATTTATAAGACACTAACTCCTGAGAAATATTAGATACTAATATAAAAGCCTATCAAAAATGATGGGAAACCATTGTTGAATGATTAATAAAAATTATAGAATTTAGCTGAAACAAACTTTTCTGTACATCCAAAATGCACCTACTCTTCACTTATTTCATCAGTCTTGAAGTAATTCTTTAATCACCACATTTTTAATAAAAACTATGCAGAAAAATGAAATGTTATCTTGAACAAAAGTACATGTGTACTCTGAAAGAGACTTAAATAGCACTCTTTGGCCTTTTTACTGTATTCTATGTCAGGAATTAGAAAATATAGTGCATACATTCCAACATAAATTTTCAACTCTTTTGACTGTACAAAGGATAAAAGAGATATGGTAGTAATAAATGTCTGTTTTTCTTTGATTTAACCCCTTACCTACTGGGGTCATTTTGTCCTATTGTGAAGGCAAAATTGCATATGTGGATTGAAAAAATTATATAGAACTTGCCTTTTATTTGTTTTCAGATTTTATTTTTGTAAATAGTAGCATAACATTCAATTCTTTGTACTAAATTAGAAGAGAAATTTAATAAAAAAAAAAATGTCAAAATTCGTTTGAGACTATAAATAAGTGCCCTCTGAGGAAATATTTTTTTCAACATTAAAAAGAATTTTTCCTTGCACTTTAGCGCTGGTTCTGCCATGTGTGATTGCTATCTAAACCTTTTTTGAAGTCTGTTTTCTTTATAAAACAGCGTCTGGGCATGTTAATCCTCAGTTGTAAAACTTTTAGCTAATCCTAGTCGAAAGTGTCAATTTCAGTACCATGTTATTACAATCGCTATATTTCACGTTTGACAAATCATACGATGATAAGCAAAACACGTAATGATATGTTGTACTTTAGATTTTACAATATGAATGTGGGTGGTGCTTACTGTAGATTATAGTAACTGCCATTTTATGTAGAGGTTGTATTTAGTAGTGGTCAATAGTACTTTTTATAAGCCTTAGAAAATTTGCTTCTGGAAAAAAACTACATGAGATGTATGTGACTTTTATTATTTTTCTATAGTAGCGTAAATCATACTATATTGTATATCTGTTTATATTAATTATTATATTGAAAAATTAACTCAAAATAGACATATTTTTAGGAAACAAGTTGATCTACGAATGTTAGGGTTAAGATCTATCGAGTGACGAGTGCATGGTCTTTACATGAATTAGGCTTAGCACTTTGAACTGAAAGAGTTTTTGATTTTTATATTCTTTTTTCAGCCACCTTCTGGGTCAGTGGTAAGTTTACAGATTCGCAGCACTGGATTCCGGGGGTTTGATTTCCTAGAGTGGACGTGGTAGATGGCCTTTAGCTGCTTGGCTCCAACAAAAGAACTTTACCATGGTCTTTAAATGACCTATGAAAAATGAAAAGGAGGCCACTTTAGGATAAGCTGCCTTTGATTTGTTTTTCTTCTGTGTGATGTTTTGGGCTCTTTCCCAGTTGCTTTTAAGCCTGAAACTTAATTGATGTCTGAAAAGTCTGGGAGCAAATGTTTTTTTTTTTCTCCATACATGGAAATTGTAGTTCATGCTGGAAGGTGTACATCTTAGTTACATGAAGGAAGAGTTAGATCTTATCTGACACATTGTCAGAACTTTGATTTCAACTACCACCACCACGTGGAGGCATTTTTCTGACTCTCAAATAATATCTGCTCCTCGAATTTCAGGGTTCTAAGGTGGAGTTTGCAGTTCACCTATATAGTTCTATGTTCCCTGATGGGACAGAGTAAGTCTACAAACTTACAATTCAACTTAAACATTTATTTCATTTCCTTTCACTTCATTTTGTTGGAAGACTCCCAGGATCACCAGTTTCGTTGAGGATGAGCTGGATCCATTGTTAGCATGCACATTGGTTGAATTTTTGGCTTCTAAACTCCTCCTAGTTGTTATTGGAGTCTCGAATTTCATAGGCTTCTACAAAGGGGTCATAGTTCCACTCCTATCCGTGAGTTCCAATCCCTGACATGAGCTCCCCGGGAAAATGATTCTCGGAAAAGATTATGTCTATATCCAAGGTTTCCATTGCTTAGTTAGTTTGCCAGCAGTTTCGGTGATTATTGTATACCTTCAGGAGCTGTGAGGGCTTGGTTCCAATAATTTCTGGATGTTTTGTAATGTTAACCATTCATCCAGAAGCTCTGCAGGTCCTTGGGCCACAATTGATCATTCTGTTCACATCTTCCCCACTATTATCCACCCAACCTGTTGGGTTTCTACCTCCCGTAATTCATCAGGACTTGGAACTTAGTTCTAGGGTTATCTGAGTCTGGTTGGTTTGGGGGTAGTGAGTGAGTCAGGCTAGTTTTTCAGATTTTTTATTCCTTTTAGTTGTTGGGTCTATGAAGACAGGAGATTGGTGTCTATTCATCAGTCTTCCTGGTCTATATCAATGGCTAGATTCTCCAAGGTTCACAAGTTAATCATTCCTCAAATGTGTTGATCTTTTTTCAAGGATTGTAGATGTCCAACTTGTAGTCGGCTCCTATCTGCACTTTGCCTTAGCGGTGGAGTCCCACCACTATCAGGCATTTGTGGTGCACAAGGGTCAGGTACTGCAGTTCTTGTTTTTTCCTCTGGTCTCTCATAGGCTTAACATGGGTTCTGCTGTGTCATACAAGTTTTCTCGCCCCCTTCATTCTATTGTTTTGTGCACACATCATTCCGTGGGTTAATGGTTACTGCTGGCTACATCGCATCAATTGTTAGACCATCATGCCCTGCTTCTACTTTCAGATAAAATGCAGGCAGGCTTCTCTTTTGGGACTGTGACATCTGTTCTTGCTCTAATTCAATATGTCATCAGTCTGGGTATTTTTTATTTTTCATCTGATCTCTCAGTCGAGCTCAGCTGTTTCCCATCAATCCTGGTCAACACTATAGAATAGGATGTCACACTCTTACTCACCTCTCCTTCTCCCACTGCACAGATGGTTATTTCTCTTCTGGGAATGTGGGTGTCACTTGAATTCTTCATGCTTTTGGGACGAGAACAAAAGTGATCCTTTAATTGGTCTTTAAGCTACCAGAGATTGTACACATCTATTTTCTGATTTCCCCAGTTTCCTTAGTTGTAATCATTCTTCGATCTCGAGGGGTTAAATCAAGACGCTACTACAAATTGGGTTCCTCTACTGCACACTTCTTTCAACATTAAACTGGATTTTTCATTTATATTTAGTTTCAAAAACAAGTGTTCTCTATCTACATGGTCATGATCTTAAAGTATACATGAGTTACAGAACCTTAGCTCATGGAACTCACGTTTGTGCTGTTTGTACAGAATTCTACAGACACGTGATTGAAGGAAAGAAGATTCTTCCATGAGATGACAACACAACTATGGTTTTAGGGAAAAAATATAGAAATGCATGTTTAATGATAAGGTAAAACTAGTAAAATTGCTTGTATTCTAACCAGCTCTATTGAGCCAATTAGATTGTTATTTTTTGCTGTTTTAGTCAGTCCGTGAGCCTCCTAAGTGGCCAGGGCTGACTAAAACCCAGTGCATCATACCTCACATTTTGTAAGTGTAAATGTGCAGTATTAGTATAGAAGGCAAATAAACAAAGCTAAATGATTGGATTTTTGTAAATATAGTTCCACAGTAATGTTGCTTTCATTAGATTCAACAATGGAACCAGCTTTGCCTCGACGAAAGAAATACCCTGAAGTAGCTTACAAGACCCATGAAGTCTTGCCATTTGATTACAGCAATGTTGATGAGGCTCTTGATGTGCTGAATAGCATAGGTGAAAATGGAGGTGCCCTTTCTGAACAGGATATCTTGAGAGCTAGGGTAAGAAATATTTTTTTTTGCACCTCAAAGTACATTTGTAGGGTTGGATAAATTATAAATATTCTTGGTATACCTTCAAGAAATTTGCCATAAAAATTTGCTGTCCCAACTCCAAAGTTACTGTTCAGAAGTTTTAGAAAAATCATTATGTAGTATATATACTTTCAAGTTATCACCCAGTTACTTTCGATTTTAAACATTACTTTAATTAAATTTCAAAACAGCTCTAAAAATATTGGGGTAAAATAAAACAAAACTACAGAAAATATAAACAAAAAATAAAAGTGAATATACTGTATAAAATAAGACAGTTTATTACTCTCTCAAATTTTCCAAATTGCAACATTTTAAAATTAAAACATGTTTACTTGCAAATATGATGCCATACTGTTTATAAAAATTCTAAGGTAAAAAGTAAATCACTGACATGGAAAAACATCAACAAATGATTTAAACAAATTATTCCAATATCTAAGTTAAAGTAAAACTCCCAGAAAGCAACATGGAAAAGAAACTTACCAAAGTAAAAAATATGTCACACATAACATATGCAGAACATGAGTTTCCCATCAAACTCAATCCACTCAAATTTCTTCCTCCATAAATCAAGATACGTTTCTTCTCTCCTATACTTGTAGTCTAGCTTAAGAGATTTGGCTTTTTTCCTTGTCCAGGGGCAAATATTATTAAAACAAAAAATACATATTTTCTCCATATCCTCAATCAAGGCACCTGAAAGTGTTTCTAAATTTTCACCATGTCTGACTGATTGACAACAATGGCACAGCTTCAGCAGCAAAACTTGTAGTGAATATTTTTTCCCCATTAACCTATTTCCCCCTTTTCTATTACATTGGGCAACAAAAAAATTTTTCTCTGCTATTAGAAAAATGTAAGTGTTTATGTGTAATTTGATGATGCTAATTCTAAAAATCATGTTGAAAATTACTGATCACCTCTAGTTTTTGAGTTATGTTATATTTATTTACAATATTCTTATATATCATGAAAATAACTTTTTCTTTATCTCTCTCACTATGGACTGTGACCCAGGGACCAACTTCATAACCATTTTGTATCTGTTATAGTATTCATACTATACATTTAATATTTTGCAGATTATCAGTAAACATTACAAGGCTTTTGTACACAAAATATCAGATTTTTTTTATTAAGTTTTTAGATTTTTTAAAGTAATGATTTACCCCTACATTTTTTCTTTTCAAATGTTGACTATTCAACATGCAAAATAATTTTGATTTTAAGATTAAAAATACTTTTATGCATCAGAAAATTGTCAAATTTCATATAGGAAATCTTTATAATTATCAAACATTTTTATTTAGAAAAAACTTTATATCTTATCTGTTATTTTGACTACTGTATCTCTGTATGTATTTGGTTGATTTGACCAACGTTGTAATCCCATAAAAATTAGGAAATAGATATAAATTGCACTTTTTTCACTTTAGAATCACTACAGATTATAACACGAAACCACAAATGTTTATTCTAAATGGCTTAAATTTCATAACGTTATACATCTATATATATATTTATTGTTTTTATTTTATTGACCTTTCAGCCATGCCTGACTCGCATTACAGAAATTGCAATAACATGGTGCATGTACACTCATGTTTCTGTATCCATTAGTATAAAACTGGCCTTTACAAAGTGACCTGTCTTAGCTTTGTTCTAGTGGACCAGTATTTTGTAAAATCAGTCACATTTCAGTTAAATACATTACATATGTATATATATTATTACTATTTACAAATAAGTTCTTAAATTTCAATTTTTTTCTTAAAACATAGAACAGCAAGTAAAGAAATATAGAAAACAATGATATCTGCCACTTGGGATTGTAAAGAAGTTTGTATTTGCTTGCCGTACTTTGTATGCTAAGCCTTGCCAAATTTTGCATGTGGAGGATGTAAAACAAAATATCTTTTTTAGGTTTTATATATGCATTTTCAAGCAACAAAAAATTATAATTTATCAGGCTTACTAACTAAGCTGTATTTGGGTCTAAAAAGATACTATTTTTGAACAACATTTTCACTTACCCCTTCCTTCCAAGATTCAAGACAAAAGAAATAATCTTGGGAACTTTCCATTTTCAAGAAACTGAAAAAACCACGTGGGGGTAATTTTGAGCTCTTTGATTGGTTATAAATGCATGATAGAGCAAAGCGGGTGAACGTAAGGAACTATTTCCAAAAACAGAAGAGGTTGGTGGGATCACTGTGTATGATTCGCTAAATATAGCGATATCTCAGAAAATACAAAAGATAGGACATTCTTATCTTATATTCTAGCTAGTCAATATCGGTAATTTGAGTTTCTATTTCTGACTTTGTATTTGGACATCACAAACATCCAATATGAACCAAAGCTGCATTCAACATACCACGTGACACAAACATCCATATTTAGAAATTTCTTTTTAATATATACTTTTAAATTAAGAAATAAACTAATGTATAATACTAAACTTTTAATTATAATCTACCATTGTAATTTACTAACCTATTGACATACATTCATAAAGTAGTAATTAAATAAAATTTTGAATTTAAGCCTACAAACTTGATGATTTGCCCTTTGACTCCTGATCATAGGAAACCCCATAGCAATAGGGTTAATAACTTTATTTATTCATTGAAAATTACATTTAAGAATGTTCAAAAACAATACATAATAGCAATACCAGTTTAAAAAAGCAATGAGTATAATATGATTATATACTGAAAATATATTCATGCTATGTTCAAAACTTTCATCATTGTATTGTTTTTTGTTACAAAATATCTGCTTGACTTATTGTTCCTTTTGTGTATGTTTTCAGTTTCATACTGTAAGAACCAACAGTAATCTTCCATCATTGCAGGATTCCATTGACTTTGATATTACTGTTCCATTGTAGAAATATCTTGGTGGAAGAACTCACCATGCTCATGTTTCACTGCACCTAGTTCATTTGGAAAGAAGTCTAAATGGGACTGTAAGAAGTGCATCTTTAGTGATATCTTATTCCCCATTTTGCTGTAGTTCTTGAGCATGTAGTCAATCATCACAGCATAGTTTTCATCTCTGTGATTTCCTAAGAAATTTTTGACAACCAGTTTGAATGATTTCCAGGCAACAAATTCTTTCTGATTGAGTACTGTTTCAAAATCACCATCCTTCAGCACTTCCCAAATCTGTGATCCTACAAAAACACTCCCCTTTCATTTCTGCTTCACTGATTTTTGAAACTTGTCAGACAAGTATCTGAAACAATTAACATCTTTGTTCATTCCTTCATGTTCCAGCTGAATATGAAGTGGGGCAGAAACAAATGTAGAGGATTCATTAAAGGTTGATACTTGATATTCTATTTCCCTGGTAGGTTATTCCCTCTCACTGGCCATTCCTTCTTTTTGAAATGATTTTTATCATCTCGGCTGTCCCAGACACACAAAAAGCAACAATGTTTGGTAAACTTACTCTGCAGGCCTAGCAGGAGTGCAATCATTAATCCTGCAAAAATAACAATGAGTTAGATTAGTGCTTCCCAAATTTTTTTCAGCTTGCAGCACACTTTAATGTCCCAAACTTTTTGTGCCACATGTAAATAAGTCTGTATGGCAGGCCTAGTGATACCTGCCCTGAATAAGACAGACAGAAATTACTGTTATACTGTGTATCAAGGGGAAAATAAATCAAATTTTGAATATTTATTAAATTGATAATAGATTTACATTACTAAATAAAAATTACTTAATAATTGCAAAAATTCTGTGGCACACCTGAGACCCTTCTGCTGCACACAGTTTGGGAAGCACTGAATTAGGTGATCTTTGTGCTCATGCCATGTCGTGGGAAGTGCAAATGGCATACTTGCTCTCTTCTTATTTATCCACTGTGTCAAGCCATATGTGCAAACTGTACGACACACATGTGGAACCCAATGTTTTTCTTGATTACCAATTTTGCACCAAAAAAAATGTAGTAAACTACCTTTACTTTGTGTGTGTGATGTTTTCCTTTGTGAAACTAATATATTTTCCCCAAATGTAGCAGAAACTGTTTGGGTGATTTGTGCACTTTTGGACTTTACTTGAACTGGAAGCAGGCAGCATTTCAAATGAATTGATTTTTTTATGTTTACAAAACTAGAGATTAAAAAATTTTAAAAAACAAAGTTTGCAGAATTTGGTTATATTTTGGGTATGATGCAAGGAAGAAGATTGTACATCATTTTGACTGTGTGAAAAGTGAGGTGAAGTACCAACTGAGTGAGTGAGAGGCAACTGAGAAAGAGGCATCTGACTCTGCTCCTTTTATGCTCAGTCGAGGGACTCCTTGAATGTCTAGCAAACTGAGCATGTGAGGGTTTCATGCATCCCAGTGGAGCAGATGAGCGTGGGAATGAAGCAAAAGTGTCGCAATTCACTACAATTATATCAAGAACAAATAACATATATGAACAATATATTTGGAATTTTACATCAATACAATGAAAGTTTGATGTTATTTAAAATGCATGCCTTTTACCCATTAAACTGTCAAAGTAAACTTAATTTCACAGCATAAATCTATTGTACTGAATATATTGCATGGTATTTCATGTAGTGCTGATAAAATATTGAGATATTACATTAACTTAAAAACTAGAGGTGTAAGACAAATTCTGACTACATTTTTTGAAATTAGCACCATCAAGTTACCCTGTATCATTTGAGTTTTTTCCTGTATCAAATTTTTTGTTGTCCATTGTTATCTTTCTTTGCTTTTATTTCTTGTTTTCATCCCTTCTTTTCCTTACCAGTTTTTGCCCATTTTCCTCTTTCTCATTTCCCATAACCTAAAATTCTTCCCTAATTTTAAAAATCTCAGAATTATTCCCTTACTTTTTGGACATTTATCCAGAAGTATATTTACCAATATTCTTGTCAATGCAAGTTTTTTTATGCTTCCTTTGAAACTGTACTTTGACAGGTCCATATTAATGCTTCATGGTTGAGTGGTGACGAACATGGTGTACAAATAGGTTATAATGGAATGATACAATATCTATATCACATACAATTTGATGTAAAAAAATGTATGTGTGTGTATATGTGGGGAGGAATATTTTTGATTTTATAGCTTTTCCAATCTTTGTAACTAATATATATTTATTTATTTGTGATTTATAGGAGAGGACTACAAAGAATTGAATTCAGTTTGCTATAACAATAGTCCATTACTGTACAAACAAAACTAAATATTTTTGGAGATTTATACATAGCATTTATACATGCACAGATATATGTATGCATATAAGTAGACCAGTCATGTTGGCATGCATTGGTATAATGTAATAACCATCTTAAAGTTGTAAGAGAAGTGCTATCCATGACGTTTGTAAGTTTAATTTGCCTTCAAGTTTACAATTGTCAGATTCTCACAACTACACAATGGCTCCTCATCACCAATTCAACTAACGATAACAAATGTATTCGTGATGATAGAAGTGTTTCATCTGTTTGAGAAATGTCCTGCATCAGTATTTAAAACAGTTTTATTTCTGATGAATAGTGGTGTTACACTTATCTAAAACATGTCGTGTAATGCTTAGAACAAAGTTATTCCTGATGATATCAGTATTTAATCCAACTAAAACTTATAATTCAATGACTAGAATAAGAGTTATTCCTGATTATACTAGACCTAAGCATGTCATTATTTTCCATGTTTTCCAGGAACATGTTATTTATTCAACTAGGCAGCCACTTAGTGTTAGAGCATGTATATTCCTCCATGTAATCAGAATATATAAATTTGAGCAACTTTTTGTTCTAACTCGGGCATTGACAAATATTTTAAGATCTAGGAGTCATCCCAAAAACTTATTACCCGGATCTAGTATAGAAAAATTATGAATATATTTTGAGTCGCTTGTGTGTTTATGGTACAAGATGTAAAGTTTTACACTAAAAGGATTCATTATGAAATTTTATTATATAACATATATTAAAGTTAAACTTCAATATGTGTAACTAATAAAATAGTGGACTAAATAACTGTAACTTATGTGGATTCTTGCAATGAATGAAAGTAAAATAAAAATAATCGCTGCAATATTGACAGGCCAAGCAGGTTATTTCAGAATAGGGCTAATCTATTCATCTCTACAACACTGTACAAAGATAAGCAAAGTCCTTTTGGTGCACCTAACCTAGGGCTAATCTATTCATCTCTACGACACTGTACAAAGATAAGCAAAGTCCTTTTGGTGCACCTAACCTAACTTTACTACTGTTTGTACTAGGAAATTGGAGCTATATTTATTTACTTTCACAGCAATGAGTGCATGCTAACTAGCACATGATATCAACAACCACTTGATAGTATTGCGTGAACTAACTGCCTTTGGTCCCATCTGAGTCTAAACACTTGCACTGATTGGTTGAATTGCACTTCATTTGTTTTGTTATTAACCACTTATAAGTGGCTTAGAATGCACCATTTTAACTTTAAAACAGAATAGAAATCTAACATGAAAGGGGGGGGTTCACATTCACTACCTATACCATTTTCAACATTTTTGAAAACTGGACAAATCTCATGTATGATTAATATGACTTTGTGAGTAAATATGTTTTTTTGTTGGTGACTGTTATAACTGCTTATGTTAGTCAAGCTTGGAATGAGGCCCATTTATGGATCCATAAGAGTGTAACGGTTGTAAACTTGAATCTGAAACTAAACTTAGGAAACTGGGTGACATCAATATCTTCTTAAGCTAATTCTTTTCTTACCAAACTAAAACAAAAAGTATATCGTAGCCATTTCTAAAATATATGCTTGAAGATACAATTATTACAATAAAAGTTAGAAGAAAATGTAATAAAATTAACTCTCATCTAGTCAACAGAACGAAAGCACAAAACTTCATCTAGGAGTCGATCTGCTGGGCCAACCTATGGACGATTTAACCCACATCCTGTGAGTTTTAACTGTTAATTTCTACTTAACTTTTTCTTTTTATAAATTTTGCATCCACCAATAAGCTAGTAGGTTTATATATGTATATAATTGAATGAGTAATATCATACAAGTTTTTAATTTTTTAAAGATTTTTATTGCATGTTTAGCAAAATATCAGCTTATCAGTTGAATACCAAAATTATTTTGTATTTCTCATATGTATTAAAGTTATGGGGCTGGTGAAAAGTCATGAAAAACACTAATGTATTTCATATTATAAAATATAAATTATGTGGCATTGTCCTGTATATTTGAAATGAAGCTTTATTTTTTAAGTTGTTGAGAACAGTTTATATGATAAATGTGAACACCATCACAACTGGTGTTGAGTGTACACCTGTATGCCAAAATTCGAAATTTCATTAAAACTAATAAATGTAACACTGTTTCAACTATTTTTAACTCAAAAACATTTTAAGTTCTTGCCATTTTGTAACATTTACTTAGCACAAATCACAGAGGAAAATGAAAAAGAGTTATTAAAATTTACACTTCTGTGCAACTGTGGTACCTCACTTGTAAACAATATGCTTATAGAATTTTTTTTTTTATAAGTTTTATGCCTGTCCCAAATATAATTTCTTGATTTATATTTGCTAAAAAATTATAATCCTTTGATAACATAACTAGCCATGTCTTGTGTCATTTGTGATTTTCCTTTGGGATGTACTAAAAGCTGAAATTCTGGCTGGAATCAGTTCAGGAACTCTCTTCTTGAAGATGGTGCACCAGCTAGACCACTATTAATAATTTGCTACTGTATGACAATAAAAACTCTAATTAAGACAAATGTGATGAAGTGCCTTGTAGTATGAGGACATAATCCTTACAGCTAAACAGTGGAGGACCTCACTGAACACTGTAAATATCCATGTTACCTCGGGCAACAAAGAAAAGTTATAAAATTTGTATGAAGTAATGTTCCATACTACCAACTATTAAAATGAAAAGAGAAATACAGTTGTGTTACTTTACTTAACATATTTCATCAAATACTAAATGACTAACATTAGGTGGAGAGGAATTTAAATAATATCTTGGAGAAACACCAATTTTCAAAATATTCTAACTTATACTTGTATTTCAGCTAAGTTTTCTTCGTGAGATAGCACATTGAGTATAATCCAAAATGACCTCCTATACTTCAACATTTGATTTTTGTTTGAGGTCTGGTTTTAGGTAGTTGGGGCTGTGTTATAAAATAGTCTTTCACCAGAGAAACAAACAGTTACATTATGAAATAAAAAATATATTTTGTGTGCATAATAGCTTATAATACAAAGGCCCATTGTGTAGCTTTATGCTAAAACAACAAAAGCAATGTAATATGTTAAGTTTATTTACAAATAAATAAATATATGTATAAAAATAACTTCTTCTACAACCTATGGAATCCTACACTTACAAATTATTGTTATTGAGCATTGATAATACTTGTATGCTTTATAATTGTTGTCTTGGTCTTCTTGAGGGATGGTGTTGGTACTAGTTTTTCCAGGCAATCCATCAAAAGTGTTCTCATGTTTTCATTCTTAAAATTTACTTCTTTATTGTCTGTCCATGCATTATGAAGAAACTGTGCCAGAAATGTTAAAACAAAAAAGACTACAGTCATTACCACTCTCCTACTGCTGAACATAAGGAATTATTACTAACTTGTTTATCCTTACCATATAATTGGCATAACTAAATTTGAAAACTTGCCGTAAAAGATGCTGGTAGGTTATTGAAATCTAAAATATGGATTACAAACCCATAATCACTCCGCAATGAAAGCATCCAGTGGTTTTGGCCAGTAGACTGGACCTAATAAACAAGAGTGCCATCATCTCTTACATAAGGGAACTTGTGGCAACTTATCCAGTGTTTAGGAGTGCAGAATATCAGAGATTAACCATAAAGAAGAGCCTAAAGTATTGTTATGAACTAGTTATTATCCACACAAAATATATTTTTTACTTTATAATGTAAATATGTGTTTCCCTAATGGGAGACTATTTTGTAACCTAAATAGCTCAACTGTCTAAAAACTTGATATATTATTTAATATGATAAAGTACAGAAGATCATTTTGAATTTTATTGACTGCATCTTATACAAAAGAATATAAAGTTGTGCTATGGATGAATTATTTTAACCATAAAATATATTATTTACACTATAATATAACTACTAGAGCATAAATATGTGCTTTGATTTTGATATCTGTATACTACTAAATCTCTGAGATTGTTTGTTTGTTTGTGTGCTTGTCTGTAATTAAATACAGCAAAAAAGGTGCACAATAGCACCATATTTGTAATGAAATGAGAATAGAAACAGAATAAAACAAGTTTCGTTAAAATTGGGCCACAGGTTACCGAGTTAGCGCTGTTGTTGGGTCACTTTTTGTACATTCCATTATTATAAAACTTCGTTTTCCACCTGATGTATCACTTTAAAATATCTTCTATACAACAATATATGCACAACAGAAATTAAATGATGAGATGAAAGAACAACAATAAAATGGACCTACAATATTATTGACTATTTTCAAATTTTTCGATATGTTGTTGATTAAGTTACAACAGTCTCTCCATATGTTGTTGATTAAGTTACAACAGTCTCTCCATATGTTGTTGATTAAGTTACAACAGTCTCTCCATATGTTGTTGATTAAGTTACAACAGTCTCTCCATATGTTGTTGATTAAGTTACAACAGTCTCTCCATATGTTGTTGATTAAGTTGCTACAGTCTCTCCATATGTTGTTGATTAAGTTACAACAGTCTCTCCATATGTTGTTGATTAAGTTACAACAGTCTCTCCATATGTTGTTGGTTAAGTTACAACAGTCTCTCCATATGTTGTTGGTTAAGTTACAAC